AAACAAACAAACAAACAAACTATTTTCCCGAACAACATTAATTAATGTGATTTTTAAAGAAAAAATAGACATATCTCTAATAAAAAACTTAATTAGATTGTTTCTTTATTTTACAACAAAACCGTATAGAATTATCTGCTGTGTCTACCGCGGCGAATCAAACGCCGGTTTTTAGCATTATAAGTCTGTAAATTTACTACTGTTTTACCAGGAGACAAATTAATTTAACTTCTCGATGTGTGTCTCAAATACCTATATATTTTGTTTTTGATTTTATTTTATTTTTATTCAAACAGTTGTAGTATATTCTAAGAACCGAACAAAATATATGAGTATTCATTTATTAATTTTTACCAGTATTGAACTTCTTAAAAATTATATTTTAATTTACAAATATTTATTTTTTAATCATGCCAGCATAGGCGGCTGAACCAAGGGGCACTTTCCCTCCGGTTTTAATACGGTAACGAATTGTTTCATAAAAGGAGAATAGCGAGTTATGTGTAAATATCATGGAAATCGCTGTTTCACTTTAGAATTCAGTGGTCATGGTTGACACAGCAAATTAGGCATCCCCTCCCCATGTTAAATATGTTCCGCCATCTATGCGGGCTAGTGTTTTATTAAACAGTATTCTATTTCATTATCATTACATACTTGTTTGTTGTTGAACGCAATGTTATAAAATAGGCTATTTGTGCTTTGCCCAACACAGCTATCGAAAGCCGATGTTTCGCATTATAAGAACTTAGGCTTGATGCTGTGCCATCAGGAGGATTATTATTACATATATATGTGTGTGTGTCTAGGAATATAAATATCTAATGGAACTTTGGTAATTTAAATAACATTTACACTAAAAAATATTCAGATCGTATAAGAATAACTACTTTATAGCTCTTACCTATGTTATATAGAATAAATATCTATTACATTAAAAATTTACTGAAAGTATCGATCGTAAAAACAATTATAATAATAAAAAATCCCATATTGCAGTACTCACATACTCTTAAATTAAACATCTGAATATGATGGTCAATACTCTGATTTCACTACTTAATTCGCACATGTTACTGTATTAATTTCTGTTGTTCTTTTACAGTTTAAAAATATTATCAGAATATACAATTGGAAAAATAGGTAATGGTGATTTCATGATGTACTTAGTTTCATTTATAACATTTATAAAATAATAAGTACACATGAATGAGATATTATAAAGATCTCCATAATATACATGGTTCACAAAAGAAAGTGATAACAGCCTTAGTTTCGTAATTTTTTCATTGAGTAAATATTAATTCTATTCTTCTACCATGTGAATGAAACATGTGATAGCTGAGCACAGTTTTTATTTTAATAAACCTTAATACATTTGTCAATGTAAATTGTACCATTAAAAAAATTGTGTTCGTAATTTCAATAATCAGTGCCAGTTATTTCGTTTCTGGAGTCCCTCTTTAAATTTAAACTTAATACTTTTCTATGTGATCGCTAGATGGCAATAAAGTATAGTGTTTCCTGATACTGTGAGAATGATTCATATTGTTACGTCTCCGTTTGTTAATTAACTTTCCGTAACTTATTTTCAACAATCACGCTAAAACAAACGCTATATCAACGAACGTCAACAATACTTCTGACTGCAGTTCAATTAC